AATAGCACACTTGTAATTTTCTTAACTTTATTATATATATATATATATATATATATTAGATTAATCACCTTTCGTACTAATAACTGAAATTCTCAACAAAATTTCAAGTTTAATTATGATTCAATTTTGAAATGGTTTGGTCCATAAAACCAAACCTCTAGCTCTAGGTATTTATATTAAAACATTATGCTTTTAAACAAAAATGAATGCAACAACTAGTATATGATTAAATGGTAACCAAAATTGTCAGTAATTTATCAAGTATGTGCTATAAATATGATGAGCTAATGTATCTTCACACATTCTGAATTCTTCTGAACACAAAAACACTAACACTGCTAAATGATCACAATTAGATTGTATCACTGTCAGAGAAAATGAAATATATTATCATAATTTATATAATCTTTATTTTAAAATTATAGCACTGAAGTTCTATGCCCTTCTTTGGTGACAGCATCGTAATTGGATTTTCATACACGCCCCTTTTTTTAAACATACTAATCAATTTTAGGGTTTAAAATGAAAACAATACAATCTAACTGTATTTCATTCTCTTACCCTGAAGTATTCTTTTATATAGTTTGAGTAATTGGTGTTTTTGCACCGAGATCACTCACTCATTTTTTTCACATGCAAACAAAAGCAACCATTAGCGTCAGGTGAAGTGGTCAGAAAAGACCAACGTAAGGCACGACATGTGGGTTAGGTCTCAGATACAGTGTTGTGTAAAATTCAAGCTGGAAAACCTTAGCTCAGTTCTAAGCAAATTCTAGTAAGAATTAACTCTAGACTATATAGTGTTTTACAAGAGATAAAAGGCATATAATGACCATAGTTTAGCATATCATTTAAATGTAAATATTGTACCTTCTGGGCTCTATCATACTTTGTCTAACTTTAAGAAAGATGCATTATGCAAGGTGTATCAAAATTATTCATCTACAAATAAAACACTAAGATGAAAAGGAAGAACCAAAAGTGAAGAAATTTTGCGCAGTTGTAACTAATAATGTCAAGTTTCTCACCACAAGGTGAAAGGTCACTCACATTAATATAAACAAGTTCTTATAGAAGAAAATGGAAAGTATGAACCTCAATGTCAAGTTCGAAAGTGTAATGTGTGTTCTTTTGTTACAGGTTCTTTCATACTCACAGTGATGGACATATGGATATGTAATTGTACTTATAGTAAATTAATCTCATTAAATACAAACAGCATACCTTCAACTCAACTCTCTTCATCCTTTTCATGACATTTTGTTTATTTCTTATGTATAATTTTGGTATCCCCCTAATTTACAAGAAAATATGGCCCATAAATTCTGAAAAAAAACAAACTATAATGTAATTTCATCATCAATAAGTACTGCCTATGTAAGCAGTATTTTGACTGTCTCACTGGACGGGAAGTCTTAAAACTAGCCAACCAGGTATGTCTGAGAGATAATCTTTTAAATAATATTTTCTGATAAACTACAATGTATTCACAAATTAACACACTCACTTTTTGATTTATTTTTATGAGTTATATGAATTAAAATATAGTAGGTCAATCTCTAATTGTACTTATACCAATATTTATAACTATACATACAACCCTCATTTAAATTTCTAAGCTCATTTTTTTTAAAGTTCAGTTTCTTTATAAACTTACTGTAGCTGTTACACAGTAAAATGATTCAAAGTTGCAATATGAGCAATATATTTCAAGGTCTAGTTTATTTAAACAGGGATTTGAATTTTCTACTACCTATCAAACTTCCAACTTTTTAATATTGCCCAGGATTGTTCAAGAGTGCAGCTTTATTACCTATTTCACTGTTCCAATAAAACACACTGAAAAATAAAACAGCTCAAAGTTGAGCTTCACCTCAACAAATGCATCTATAATTATGCCTTTCACAACAACATATCTGTGTTTTGATATTCTGCATATAACTATCACAGTTTTCAATCAGTCAGAATCAAGTTAATATATGTTTTCCCATTCTTTCAAAATGAAATGTTTATGCATAATATTTTTCTTGCAAAATATTCACTGAAAATTTGCATATTAGTTTAATTTAAAGATGGAATGAATTTTACTCAAGGGTGATCTGCAATAGCTTCCCTTAACTTTAAAATGCTAGACTAAAAGGAAAGCAGCTAGTCTACACCACCCACTGACAGCTCCTGGACTACTTTTATCAGACCAATTAATAGGATTTGACAGCCACTCTTATAACACATCCATTGCACTGAAGTGCAGAACACAGCTTCCACTAGTTAACCACAGGACCACATTATTTTGAGTAATCAACAGCACACAGTAAAGTCAAAACTAAAATAATTCATTAAAAAATTATTTACATGGTAAAGCTTTATGCACAACATGCAACAAACATAAAAACTATGCCTTATGGATATTCTCCATGATTTTGACACATGGAACTACTAAAAAGCAGATGTCACTGTCAAATGGCTAACCAAATTTGGCTAATTTTCTGTGCCTCATATGTGTTAAAACGTATATGAGAATAGACAGGAGAATACACCACAACATTTAAATATCAGACTATTCTACTTTTTCTTACCTTAATTACTTTCTTATACTGGTTTCATGATTTCAAAAGTCACTTTTCAGTATATAATTTTACTGAGAATTTTTTTTTCTTCTGTAAGTCTCAGTAACTTTGTGAAACCATGAAAACAGTTACTAAGACTTACAGAAAAGAAAAAACAAATCTCAGTAAAATCATATCCTGAAGAATGACCTTTGAATCCAGTAGAAGAAAGTAATTAATGAGAGAAAAATAGAATAGTCTGATATTCCAATGTTTTCTTATTTGTATTCATAGGTGAATTTTATTGATATTTTGGTTTTATGTATGTATGTATGTATGTATGCATGTCCATATATACATATAATGGACGTGCATGTGGTTTATGAAGAAAAGGTGAATAAAAACAGCTTTACATATTTCTTAAGGCGGGTAGAAAAAACATTAAACTAATTAAATCCTTTAACATAATGCTTTTTTTAGTTTATCTTCAAAAATCATTTTACTTATAGAAATCATATGTCCAATTAAAATATATTGTAAGAGCTACAATTTCTTTTAAATAGTGAATTCTATATAAAACATTCAAAATTTCCTTTGCTGAAATAACTTTTCACTTTTAAGTTCATATGGAAAATTAAAGTTTTTGTTATTGATATCATATAAACTACAATACCGCAAACTACTAACAACTTCCTTAGTTGAATGGACAATAAGAATATAGATAATGCTAAGCCCTTTTCAACAGTGAGGTTTCATGTGTTAACCACAAAAGAAACTTTGAGAAAATAAGGAACTAAATTATTCTTTAAGTTTACACTTAATAAAAATATAATTTACATGCATACAAAATACTGTGTTCATATTACCTAATTAATGCAAATAATTTTTTTTAATGACAACTGTTTTTCTTTTCAAATAGTGCTTATTTTTATGAATAACCATTTATGAAACAAAACATAAGAAAATAAAGTCAGGGTGTTAACAGATTTTTTGTGGGGTTATTTCATCCCAGTTTTAAGGGTTTCAGAATAGCACTAGCTCAACAAGTCTACAGGAGGGAAGTAGCAAAGTTTCCTTGAAGTTAAAGCATCTGCCTTAATTTGAAAAATAGAACCTTGTTCCTGTAAGGCAGAGGTATACAACTTTCACATCATAAAAAGAAAATTACAGACTCAATACTGTTAAATACAAGATATTGGTAATAAAATAAGGAATGAAGAAAAAGGGAGGTGAACTAAGAGCACTTGACACTCTAATTGTAATTGTCTATGTAATTTCCAACGTCTTTAAAACTTATACATAACATTTATAAATATAATAGCACCCCGTGTTTATGTATTAAGTGCCACCCAAAAATCAATATACTAACTGTTGGATATACCAAACAGAAACATTCTGCCAAAATTCCTTCTGCACTGATTTTAAAATTAATATATAGTTTGATATTAAGAGTAAATCTGGAATGAAAACTGATGGTTGCACTTATTCTTTTTAATCATGAGTGTATATATTTAACGAATCAGTAAGCTTAAAAATTAAGAAGCCAAGTATACAGTTAGCTAGATTCAGCTTGATACTTGGTCAGATTCTTGAAACTCAATTCCACGATCCTCTTTTAGTGAGGCTAGGAGCACCTGTATACCATTACATGCACCTAGAAGAGCCTTTTGCTCTATATTATTCATCACGCTGCACATCCAAAGACAAAATCCTAAACCTATGGAAAGCACTATTCTTGAAAAGATCATGAATGCATTCAGTCCATAAGGAAGGTTGAAAGGAGTACTGAGCAATAGTAAAGATAACAATAAACAAGACAACATGAAGTAAAATATTCTATTTTTCCTGAGACATACAAGACTAGCATTAAGAAGGTGGCCAGCTTCTTCTAGTACAGTGAATCGAGCAGAGTTATTCATTGCAGGCTCCTCAACTAAAGAAAGAAATTTCAGAAATTATGGTCAAAACATGACACAAGTTGAAAATACAAAATACTAAGTACAACTGAAGAAAGATATTAAGTATTTCTAAGGGTACACATGTATTCTTTGTTTCCCAATGACTGCACATTTATAATGTAATGCAATTTTTATCAATTTCTATTTTCAAGCTACTTAGAAACACTTTAAAACCACTTTGTATTTTAGTGCTGTAATTTAATCATAAGACACATAGTTTTCAGTTTAGCTATTCAAGAACCTAGGGTAATAATGTAAATCATGATGGCATGAATGTTTTATATACAGACTGACAAGTTATTACAACAAATAAAATATCACAATATTGAGAACATGGATTTGACTTATTATTAATTTGATTACTTTATTAAACAAATGTCATTACACTAAAGAGTATAAAAGAATCAATTTCACAAAAACCATCAGTAGCTTACTGTAAATTGCTCAAATACTTTGTCTGTAACAGCTGCATGAATGTGATGACTTTTGGTCATGAGAATTAAAAAAAAAAATTATATATACTTTCATACTGCATTTAGGTGAGCAAAGTAAAAAATGTCCAAGCTGGAAAGTACTGGTAACAGGCAGATTTTGCCATGTATATGCAACCAGAGAATACAAACCTTATGAGATATACATTAAACACTGATAGTAATAGACAACCTAGAAATAAAGCATTTAAAGTGGTATTAGTTTTTTACGGTACAAGAGCTAATATGGGCAAAGGAAGGATGAGTGGATGTTTAAATGGTGAAAGTATGTAAGACAAGTGTTATCAAATTTTAAAGAGCAAGTAAAAATAGTAGTTTAACATCATTTCAACAATATTTTTTTTATCTAAAATATTCAATAATTGGTATATTGTCATTTTACAACATTTATTTGACTGTTATGATGCGATATACTTTGACATTTATAGCCATTTGATGCAACAAGCAGCTTCACAAAAGCCTCTCCTCGCATCCTTGGAAGCCATGCCACATCTCCATGGTGCTGCTATCTGTGAGCAACACCACAACTAGTGGATGTGTTTACATATGCTCAGCTGTCAGCTCATGTGTTAAGTAGCTACATGATTTGAGGTAAAGTATTTTGATATATTACCATTTGTAAATGTTATACCTTACACACATATATATATATATATATTCAGTATTCTAGTATCTTTCATCTAATATACTAATAGAAGCCAGAGGTTTTCTAATGAGGTGGTAAAATGAATGTGTAAGTCAGTGTTCATCATTTGTCACCTGTTTTTTCTGTTCAGCGTTCGTGTGCACATCAGGGAATTGTTGTACCACATATAGCAAATATATCATCTCCTTTTGATATAGATGGGGAAAAAAAAAAAACTAGTAAATATCAAATTCCTAATTTAATTTTTTGATAGATAATTGACATTTTTTGGGAACCAGACCAAAATGTAATTCCACACAGAAAGGGTTAATGTAATGTGCAGCTCCATATTTATTGATTTTTTTTAGAATTTTTATGCACATCCCAAACTATAGGCTTATATTCACTCAGAAACTGTCAATGCTTTGAAGTAGGCTTATTCTTGTTTTGTTGCTCACAGCAAAGTAGTTGGACAGTAATTAAAAAATCATAGCCTTAAAAGCAAACAAAACCATCAACTACAAATGACTGGATATAAAAGATTGTTGTCCATTTACTTCAATATAAAAATTAAAGTGTTGTATGAGGTAATTCATGGTTTCTAAGAAAGTGACTTCCAGAAATTCCTATAGCAGAAAACAAAGGATTCTATTACAAAGCTTACAAAATGTAGGAATAAGCCATGAATATGGGAATTTTTTTAGTTTCATTTGATGTTGTGTTTGTTCAAGAAAATCTGTTTGAAAGGTGCAGGAATATTCTTCTACGAGAAGTCATTAACTCTCTCAACATGGGCTCAGTCAATTTAACCGACCACGTGACCTCTTTGTACTCATTTAAAGTCTTTATAGATTTAATACAGGAATCCCTCGATTAGTGCGGTTAATGTGTTCTTTAAAAGAGCCGCACTAATCGAATATAATAACTTATAGGAAATCATGTAATTCATGCCTCAATTTTCATTCTCATTCACAATTAATTTCTATCTTGCGTATTTTTTAATCAAAGTATAGGTATATAAGAAAATATGAAAAAAATGCAATGAATTAAAATTTATTGATCTCATTTTTTTATGAAAAACTTATTATATCGTATTCTTCTGTTCTTCATATAATTGGCGGTACTGAGAAATTGCCTCATCAATTTTTCTGTAAATTTGACGGCTTCTATCTTCATCGGGGTCTGTTTCTAAACATTTTCCCTTAAATTCTTCAATAACCGTGAAAAGTTCTTCTAATTCCTTCTTCGTCATCTTATGCTGACATGTAGGTAAGATTTCTTCACATTCATCAATGTCTTTATATGCTCTCTGCGTGTCCAAATTTATAAGATCCTTATTGGTTAGTTCTTCTGAATGAGCTTCTAGCAATTCTTGCACATTTTCATCGTCAATCTCAGCGAAGCCAAGTTCTTTTCCAATACGAGTAATCTCTTTAATGACTTCTTCTGTATCTTTTGAAAAGCCTGTGACGTCCTGTGCACAGTGTGGAAAAACTGTCTTCCAAACACCTTGCATATTTTTAACTGAAATTTCATTCTATGCTTGATGGATATTATCAATAGCATCCTTAATACTGAAGTTCTTCCAAAATTGAACTAGTGTCATAGAATTCTCTCCAGATGTTGCTTGAATCACTTG